GAAGGACTCCTGCTCAACCTCTCCCCTCACCTCAGGGTCACCACACCTCAGGTTAAGCAAACACCAATTGTGTCTCTGTCTCTAGTATGAGAGGAGCCCCCTGGTAAGACTATAGCAACTTTACCTTTACTGTGTATAAAGACTTGAAGTAAAAGTTGTGCGCGTAAATTATTGTGAACAAAATATGACTCCATTTGTATCTATAAACTGTCATGTAACTGGACATCCTACTGTAATATAAAACAAAAAAAAACTGAAACAAAAACAGGAATTGGTGGTGAAACTCAGCAGGTCTGGCAGCATCTGCGGGAAGAAAGTTTCTCGTCTAGTGATTCTTCATCAGAACGCACATCTTACTCTCCCCATTAATATAAGGAAAAGTAAGTGAGCCTGATTGTACAGTAACAGTTTCAAGTACATTTAGAAAGGGATATTCAATTATGTAAGCTGGAATGCATATTGGCAGTGTTGCATCTCCTTATGCCAATGCTGATACTTTTGTGCTGCCCGAAAGTATCTGGGCTTCAGATGTTTATGCATTATTTTATATTTTTAACAACTGCAGCTTTAACAGTGCTAGTTCATTTTAAATTTTGGTAGTAAAGCTACCTTAGGAAGTCTTCTTGCTCCACTTGTTAAATGCATATATTCAATTGCTAGTGTACAAGGTGATATTTGAAACTTTAAATAATCTAATTAGTTATTTTTATATTGGTAAGAAGCCAATAGTTGGCACTAACATAATGTGTTTAACATAGCGAAATATCTAAAGGTGCTTCACAAAGTAAGCAGATCGGGCAAAATTACTGTGAATAATTATAAATTGTGTTTGGAGAGGTGGTTGAAGATACGAGTGAAGATGTATATATGGATCAGGCATTTGAAGATACTTATGAAGAGAATTCCAAATTGTAGGGCTGTAAAATATGATGGCTTTGTCACGGATTGGGGAATGTGTGTGGGGTGAGGAGAGGCATATTAAGTAGGCCAAATGCAAATAAGCAGAGAGTATCAGTTATCACATGGTGTTGGGGAATTAGATATCATTTGAATCGAAGCCATGGAGGGAATTATAAGCCAAAGTTTTGAAATTAATAGAATAAGTAGTGGTGTCTATTGAACGTTAGTGATAAATGTTGAGGAACTTAGTCTGGAATAGAATGTCGACCATGTATCTCTAAGTTTGTTTAGAATAACTTATGTTGAAGTCTCTGCCTTTCACAGATTAAAAGTATTGTGATGCAGGTCTGGGACTTTGCTGATATTAGTTTACAATGTTTTTCAAGCAGCCGTAACTACCAAATAGCTGTTGTTCAGTATTAAAGATCTCATAGTAAAAAACACTGCCATTTACGCATGCGGACTGATTCATTTCAAGAAAGTAACATTCAGAGATTCACTTTGATTAGTGAAAATAAAAGAGCAAGAGATTCATTGATGTTCACTCAGTGCTACACACTGTCTCACACTGCATGATAACAAGACCCTTGGATAATGTTACAAGTATGAGGTTTATAAAATTATTATATTCTAGAACCATCTTTAAATTTAAAGTAAAATGCAGGGGGGTCATGTGGTGTGTTCTAAAATTTGCCTGACAGTAGGCCTCTATGATTTGATTGTTAGAGACCAAATAAAGGCTTAGATCAGAACCTCCCACTGGATCATGAGCTCCAAGGCACCAATGGCTACTGCAGAATTCTGGTCAAATACACAGTGTGGCTCTTTTAAATCCTTGCATTTTTTTTTAGTAGTGTGTAAGGCTTGACTGGTCAATCCTTGAGACTTGATTATCGTCCTGGCAAAATCAGTTGAAAGCTAGATTCATTTTTAAAAGATCTATGCAGTCAAAAACCACTTCACCTCTTATGCCTGTCCTCTCATCTTAGCCCTCTACCAGGTCTGACAGGTTTCTCCGCACTCCTTTCCACTATCTCAAACACCTGTCAGTGGTTCTCACAGCTTTGGGGACAAAGTCCGCAGTATCCCCTTGACAATGCATAAATCAGACAAAATCTACCTTCCTCGTCTGAAAATAAACATTGACAGTTAACTGTCTTGCTACATCTCCATGCAAATTATGGTTTAACCAATCAGCATCCTCTTCTCATTCTATATAAAATAGTGTCGCTTTACTCAAGCCTGTTTTTCTGTATTTTAATTTTGATGAGTGCAAAATGAAAGGCTCCAACTTTTAGACTCATTTTACCAATGTTTAAGTTACAAGATTGCAAATTACCAGGTTGAAAGAAAGAACAAAAATAAGCCCTTGTGAGCTAGGAATCATTTTGTTTTGATTCTGAGAAGTTTAATATCTATGTAAAGAACACTGCACTGTTTACCTGTTGTAATGTAAGGTGTGTGATTAATTTAGTTTAGTTTACATTAATTTAGTTTATTTCGGAGTTTACATTTTAACTAGAGGCACATGGGTTTTCAGGGAATTTAATGATTATTTTGCCAGTATTTATGCTGTCAATAAAAAAGAACAGTATGAGATAGCATATCGTTGCAGTGATATTGAGAACTTGTTTGCGTTATGAGAGATTTACAAGCAGACAGACTAACCTTTCAGTTTAACAAGATCAGGATTTTTTTTGCTCAGGAAAAGAACCAATAGCGTGGAAATCTGTGTTGTAATTTTCAGAGGTCCTGGTGGATGTTAGATGTGTGAAACAGTTTCTCATAAAAATGGAGATAGTTGAGAATTGTTAGGAAAAGGTACCCCAGTGTTAGGATTTAATTTTGTAAGTTCTAGACCAGAAGTTAGTGGTGATTGAGGTGATATTTGATGCTGAGAAAATCTAAGCTCATTGTTTGACTAATCAAGGAAGAGGCTACCAAACAGGAATTGAATGAAACAGTTAATTTAAACCTGTAAAAATGATAGAGAAGCAAACACCGTTTAGTGTTTGAGTACTGTAATGTGATAGTGCTGGGATAAATAGAATTGTATTTGTGTCTGTTTTGAAATCTTTTTAATTATGTGATACGTAATTAGCTTGGTTTATTTTATTTTCCTTTTGCGTAATAAACATCTATTTTATTGCTAAAACCAAGTCTGCAGCATCTGGTGCTTCTGTTTCAATTAAAAAGAAAACACCAACTAGTTAAATAACGAAAGTCAAAATATGATCTATTAAGCCATGTGTCAGTCCAATACCTTACTTGTCCAGTAATAACATCAATTGGGATCATAACATTGTATCTTTTCTCAGTTGGACTAAGAACGGGTAAGGGAGGGATGGCAGTGTTCTGTTTTGTTGTTAAGTATAAATTGCCTACAAAGGTAATATTTGGTTTATAGTGTTTTTAGACTTTTTTTTACAACAAATGGTTAAAACACAAAATCTTTCAAGTATTAACTGGAAGTTTGAATTTCTGTTTAAGTTATCAATTTCTATAAGAATTGTAATAAGCTTGATGGTAGGGCCCATTCGAATCTGGGCTTTGGTTCTGTAATGTTTGTTCTATTGGATCAATGATCTAGAAAGTTCAAATCCCACTGAGAATCTGTATTCCGTTACAAGTCAACTGATTGTGAACCATTTGAGTTTGTACAATTACATTTCAGAATTTTAAAATAAGAATGTTACTAAGGGGAAAATAGCAAAGAAATCATTGTGCATTAATCACATAAATTAAACTGTGAGCGAATACAATATGTACCCTTTGCACAAGGCATTTCGAATGTTTTTAAACATTCAAGTTTAAAACTGGGCTTTTATTGCTAATTTTCTTTAGCAAAATTATCACTGTCTCCCTGAACAGACTCACAAAACCAGACTCTACCTCCTTGCCAAGTTTCTCCTGGAATCTCCTATAACACAGGAGGTGACTTTTTTGCTTTTGTTTCAGCGGAGCTCAGGACTGAACCATTACCAAGGATGTGAAGAAGGTAACTGTATCCGTCGAGTGTACAGTATACCAACATTCGATGGGGGATGAAAGTCCACCAGATGCTGTTTGTCACAGAAACATAACCAGGCATACTCATGTTATTCCAAGTCAGAACTTGTCCACATTCAGCTTTGCCTGCCCTGCACCGACATCCAAAATGCCACTGATAGCTCACACATCAGGAATCACACTCAAACTGTTGCTGCAGCAACTGAGACCACCTGCACACAGCCCCTCCCTATAATGCCCATTGCCCTTCAGTTGAGTGGTACCTAGTTGCAGCAGTAAGGGGCGGACTGTGCGCTTTCTGACAGGCTTTCCCTTTACTATAAAGTGGCAAAGGGGTTGGAAAAAAAATCATTTCTGTCATCATGAACATTGCATTCAAACAGGTAGAACACGGGCTCTTTTGAGATGTGGGTGGCTGCTGTGCTGGAGTTATACTGCTGGTCGTGTGTGCATCCAACAGGGATGCTGCAGTTGCTATGTATGCTTAGGGGCACCAACTCAGGGCATTGCGTGAGGGTCCAACTTCATGATTCACTCTCCCGGTTACCGTGCAGTCCAGCATAGTGCTGTGAAGTTGGCAACTGCACCCTGTAAACCACTCAACAGGCCCTTAGCTGCTTTGATACTTTCACCTGTACTAAGCACCTTCTCCTCCCCATCCAACAAGCTGTGGTAAATCCAGAGGAATCTAGGTACACCATTCTCATGCTGTTACATTGCTGGGATTCAGGTTTAAATGCTAGGAACTAGCCGACAGTAGGAGATCCGGCAATCCCATTCCCAGCACAAAGCAGGCAGAAATTCACACTCTCTCTCTCTCTCACATACACACATACATACACACACACAAATACATGCACAGGCGGATCACTTTCTGGCACAAAGTTGACAGCTCAAGCTTGACTCAAAAACCACCTCATTTTGCACATTCAGGGGGAGTGAGTGCCTGTTACAGGAGCAGACAGATAAGCGTTCATATTCAGAGCCTGTCCCAGTCACCCAGGCTCTCTCTCTCTCACGCACACCCACATTCTGTTACAGAGTTACTGTGCTCTGACTCGCTCACTCTCTTCTGGAGTGCCTCACCGTGAAGGCGGCTCCCAGTCACTCGGCTTGTCTTGTTTTACAGCCTCAGTCCCTGGCTCCTGTCGCTCCACCGGACCAATAGGCACCAGAACGAGACGGAGCCTCTTCGCCACAAGGACTTATTCTGCTACCAAACCCCAACAAGTTTGTGGAAGAACAGGGCTCGGTGGACATGCTGCCGGAGTCTCTCTGGATGTCTGCTATCCTTTGTATCTGTCAAGTCGGTGAGTACATTACGCCAGCCGCCGTCTTTCCCTTGCGTCTTTAAATCGTTTTTAAAAAGTCACAATTCCTGCCTAATTTGCCCCCCAGTAAGTGACAGTCGGTACAGCATTTCCGCATTTTGAAGCTTATAAAAGGCTGAATGGGAACAGACAGAAAGTGCTTTCCAATACAATGGTGGCGGGGGGGGGGGTTAACCAGAACCGAAGCGGCAGCGAATCTTTATTGAATCTTTATTTGAGTATTTTTTATTTTCTGCGAGTTGTGGTGACTGAGTGTCCGAGCCGTGAGGTATGAGAGTGGACCCCGGGCCGAATGGACATTCTCCTTGCTCAGATGCAGTGATGAAAAGGGAGATGAACTGAAGGGGCATCAATTGTTGAAAGACTTGGCAATGGGATGTAATGATAATATCCACAGCAGCTTTATTGCAAAGCTAAGAGGGACTTGGAGATGCGAGGACAGTGTGAAGGTTTTAAGAGAGAGGGGATGTTTAAAGTGATTAAACCGGCAGACTGCTTTGCTTGCAGTCCCTGTAACATTGCATCTGCCTTTACCCTGGTGTATAATCTTTAATGTGCCCAAGAAACGCTTCCTCGGTTTTATGGCCAGCTGTTGCAGGGAATATACCCTCTGGTCACCCTCTTCATGAACAAATATATCTGGGTTTAAATTGTAATTCAGGTGAAGAATGTTTCATTTGAAATTGAGCATTTATGCAGATTGACACAATACGATGCAGTTCAGGACATGTCGCTCTTGCGAAAGCTGGTAAGCCAGAAGGTACTCGCCTCGGAGCCTTTCCGTTTCAATGACAAGCCTCAATGCGTTTTACATCCCTTTGTTCTACACCGGTTTCTGGTGTCAACGTTTGTTCAGGACAGCCGATTACTCTGGAGATGTTCTGCATGAGATTTGAAGCCAGCAATGGAGGAGAGAGTCTGTGAGAACAAAGAGATGTCCCGCACGGACGTTTAAAAGATACAATATTGTCATCGGGAGACCTGCTGTTAACCGGGCTCCCTTTTCGAACTGTGCCACTAATCCCAGTCTATGGTTAAATCCGACTTTACTGAGTGAGACTGAGGGGACACATGAGCACAAGCCTTTTCGACTGAGTCAGCTGCGTAGCTAGTAATCCCAGTGTTTTAGTTTCCTGAGACAAGTTGGATCAAAATGATTGGAGGGCGGTAGGGGGTAGGCTGGGGGCTGGGCTCCTGGTGACAGGTGGTGAATGAACTCTGCTGAACCACATTCTTTCACCTCTGCCGCTTGGGTTCAAACCCAGCCCAGGCAGTGATGAAAATGTCCTTTCTGATAAATGGTCCTATCTGGGTCTGGGTTGAGCAGTTCTCTGTGCATTCAAGGGCAGAGTGGGACTATCTCATATTAAAACAAAACCCATTACCATCGGGTTAAAGATGTTCTTAAAATTGTAGGTTCCAGTCAAATCCACATTTCAAGTCTTTACCATAATCAAGTTGTTATCTTTTACATGAACAGTTGAAGGTTTGTCAAACGGTTGACTCTCACTTCAGAGACTGTCAAAGATTGTTTTAACTTATTCATGTGACTAATGCTGTCCCATCGGCATTTTAAGAAATATGGTTCTTACAATGGTTTTGTAAGGCAATTGGATGTTTTCTGGAATATTGTTGCACGCTCGAAATGTCAATAGATGGATACAAAGTTATAAAGCGTGCTGGTGGAATGTACACAATGCCAAAACTCATTAATGACCGCATTTTTTTTCAAAAGCCTCACAGTAGTAATGGTTGTAATATGATAAGTCTGTTTGTATCCACAGCCATATAGAGCTACTTTTGTTTGTGGGTTAGTGGTTTCCTTAAGATTGGCATTATGGCATCTAAGAGAAGAGATGCAAGGAAAAGAACTGTCAACTACAGACTCCTGTCCACATATGCTTGCTTTGTGCGTTCCATCCATCTATTGCTAACACTATAGAAGTTTACTTCTGTGTCCTGACAATTGGAATTGTTGCGGATGACGGCAATAAATGAAGGACACGCATGTCCAACTAACCCTTGTGCTTCTCACTTTGCATACCAAACACACCCTTTTGCTTTAGTTGTCCAGGTTTAACGTTCAAACACTGTGAAGAATCACATTTATGGCTATCAGTGCCACAATACAGACCAGTTGCATTACGGCTAAAAAAAATGCAGCTACAGACAAAGATACATAACAAAAAATTTTATTTGCCATATGGATCAGAATTTTTAAATTTTTTACACATTTTTACAGCATTACTTCAATAGCTACTGACCTTCAATTTTGAGGAATGATTTAACATATCTTCCCCAAATAAAACTCAACTATTTCATTGCATTTTGATAGTGGCTGAATGGCCAATCCCCATTTCCACTGAAAAAACAGAAGGTAAGCTGATTTCCATTTGAACAGATACCTTCTAATACATTATCCTTGTACTTGACTCCTTGCTTGGAAAATTACATTTCTTTTTTATCCTTATGCTTCTTCCTTGCTTTTGGTCTTACTGATGTTTTATTGTCTTTCATTGTTTATATTTGTAATCTATTTTGGATACATATGAAAGCATACATTTTTCTTAAACACAACTCAAGTATTCGGAAGTCATCACTAATAGGCAGAAGAGGTTTGGCTTTTTTCAAATAGATGGGTTCTGTTGGATTCTGTGAACTGCAGTGAAGTCCAGACTGGATCCAGTGAAGTGAAAACAGGTATTATTGGGCAATTAACAGCCTGTAGCCCTGTGTAATAGTCAATGAGACCAATAAATTTATAGATAAAACACTGGACTGAAACTTTTGCTATATAAATAGAGTCAACATGCCCTTACCACAGTTAAATTCATGACTGTCTCAATAAAACTCTGAGATGACCACCTGAAATCTCCAAAGGGATTGACTTCAACCATCCATAGTTGCTTCGACAACTTGAGTAGTAGTACAGCTAACTAGAAAATAGGCAAGAATTTCTGAGCAATTTTGCCTTCTCTCCTATTGCTGCTACTTCTCCTAAGAATGGACTGCCATGTTCCAGTGTCAGGTTAGACTTCATTTAAACAGATCAAAAGGGTATTTGAGACATAAAGTGTGAGTAGCTCAAAATCTGTTCTTGCATTGGAAACAAATTGAGTTTATATTGTGGGATAATGCTACATCATTATTGGTATGAAAGTATTCTGGAATCTTCAGCTAATTGAATTTCCTTATGTCATTATGGCACAGAACTTGTAACTGAAGAAGCTGTACCTCGGTACCTTTGTACCTAAGATGGCACTGTAAGTGGCAACTTATAAGCTTTTCACTGTACTGATTTGTGTACATGTGATAATAAAGCTAATTCAATTCAATTCGGATCAAAATGAGCCCATGTGATCTAATAAATCCTATTTTTTTTCAACCTCAAAGATGTGAGTAACATTTGAAGCAAATTTGTAACATGTTTATAGATTCATTTCTTGAAACTGTGTTACCATTCCTTATGAATTTTCACCTTTCATTAACTACTAAGGGCCTGTTAAAGATACTTCTTTTAGTTTTTTGTCCTTTTTTCTGAGGAGCATCTGGAACATTGCTTTGTGACATTCCATAATGGTATACCCGAGATTTAGATTTGGGAAGCTAATGAAAATGTATCCCAATACAATCTCTTTATACTTTAGTTCTGATGTGCTCTGTACCACATCATTGCTCAGGATGTTCTTGTTCTTTATCCCGATCACCAAACTCATTTGAACTAAGGTCCAATTGGTTTTGGAAAAATAAAATTCCTATTCTTCACAGATCCAATTAATATTTCACTAGTGTTCACAGTACAATCATTGGCTGTACTTTTAATTAAGACTTTGCACAATAATTACATGCTTTCATCCTTTTAAAAAGCTCTGCATTCCTTTGGTCAGCAGAGCAGATTGTATGTCTCTCTCTTCCAACATTTTTATCTTTGCTGGATCACTGAATTTTAAATGTTGCTGTACAAAATTTGGTTGACTTGGTCTGAGTGTTTGAACTCCAAAATATTTGCACAGATTCAACAGCTGGACAGATAAAATGCAAGTGGTGTTTATAAGAAGACTATTGTATAAAAACAGACAACACAGTGGTATAAATTGCATTACCACTTTGCTTATTGATGATATTGTCATGTAAAAAATGATGCTGTAGGTTTTCACCAAACTAAAATAATTTTATATTTTAAAATGGCTTATTACAAAGACTATTTCAAAGTAACTAAAGTTTAAGGTGCCTATTATTGATAAAGAGCTTTTAAAACGTGTGATTTTATTTGTTAATGAGATAGTTAAAAGATAAGGTGATTTTGATGACTTATCTAATGTGGAAATCTTTAACACATTGCATTACAGGAATTGCAAGCATCAGTGTTATTAAGTGGACAATCTATAGAAATGAAGAGAGCCCCAAACATGATACTAATACTTTATAACACATTAATGAGGCCACGAATATTGTTTCTAGTTTCTGGTTTCTGGTTACTGTACAGTTATAAAATAGAAGGTATTGAGCCATTGGATAGGATTCAAAGAAGGACTTGCAAAAATGTTTGTGTTTGTGGAGTGATGAACAATGCAGAACTGCTGTGTGAGCTCACCTCATTTTTATGTTGGTCGGGGTGATGGGGTGAATGGTTGGTGGAGGAGACCAAGAGGATTAGCTTTAAGATAAGGGAGGTTTAGAGGGGATGTGAGAAAAGATGTTTTACCTCAGAGGGCAGTGAAAATCTGGAATTCACTAGAGTGGTAGAGACAGAAATCTTCTGAATGTTGAAGAAATATTTAGATGTACACTTGCAATGCCAAGCAATTCATACAAGGTTATAAGCCAAGTGCTAGAAAGTGAGATTAGAATAGTTAGATGATTGCTTTTGATTGATGCAAACTCCATGGGTCGAAGGGCCTTTCTCTGTTCATTAGACCTCTATGAGGAGTGTTGTCATCTTTTGTAAAATAATGAAGGGAATTGTGGGAGGTTATGATTTGGTTAAAGACCCTTAACATTTAAAGAGAAAACAACACCTTGCATTATCAATAGAAAATTTCACTTTTTAAATAAAATGCAAATTTTCTCATATTTAGAACAAATTAAAGAAAATACAGTTAATTTACCATCATAGCTTCCAAAAGCAAGTTTACTGTTTACACCCGTCAAGAGTTCTCTCATTTTGTAATATCTTAAAGTTATTGACTTCTATCGGGAATAATCTTAAATATGTTCAGTCTCGTGGAGACTATCTTTAATCCCCACCAGCTAGTCTTATAGATAAAACTTTAATTTACCATCTTTTGATCATGAATGCTTCAGTCCCCATTGTCGGTTTTTTTGAGTACTTCTAAGCTAATTTGTGTAGATATAGCAACTGGTTTAGTAGGTGATTGATGTTAATAAATTAATTAATTGATTGGCTAGATATAAAGGGAGAGCAGAGGGTGCCTGCTGTGCAATGGTAGTGTTCCTACCTCTTGGCAAAAAGGACAGGTTCAAGTCCTACTTGCTCTGGAGGTATATCATAACTTGCCAACACAAAATGACATTAAATAAATAAAAGGGGGCTGGTGTGCTGAAGGAGCCATAATATTGTGTAGGTAATAAACTCTATCCACTAAGAAAGGTGTCTTTTTTTATTTTTCCAATGGCTGGCTTGGATCCAAATTGATAATTTGTTGGTCGCTTTCTTTTCCAGAAGACTGTGGAGGCCACTATAGATTCTGATTCTAGTTTAAAACTAAATACTCTTAAATTTCTGTTCGCCCATAAAATTTAAAATAAGATTAGGCCTCACCTGCCTTTACTCTACTTACAGCACATCTGATTGCCACGTACTTTGGCTAACCTCTCTGTGAGCTACAAGCTCTACGTCAGCTCTTCTCTGCTACAGACCTCTCAGAAAACATCAGGATAAGATGAAACTACAGAACTTCGTGAAGTTCCACTCATCCTCATGACATGTAGCTTACTCTGGAGTGTCCTCAAAGTTTAAATTAATTACTAAAAACCGACAGAACTGCGGATGCTGTAAATCAGGAACAAAAACAAAGTTGCTAGAAAAGCTCAGCAGGTCTGGCAGCATCTGTGAAGGAAAAAACAGAGTTAACGTTTCGCGTCTGGTGACCCTTCCTCAGAACTGATTAGTCCCCTAAATTAATTAGTCCTCATTTACTGCTTCTTTGATCTGATGACATAAATAGGCATAAATTTTGCTGAATGTTTTAAAACTGAATTAACTCTAACTCCCAAGCAAAAACATCTTTCTGGCTTGCCTTAGCTGCAAGCATGGCAGATGTCTCATCTCCAGCTCTTTAGCTAAGTAAGCCCATCTGTTGTTTTAAAGACGTAATTCTCCTGACTTTATATTTTAAACTGGTTCTCTCTTTAAGCTGCAATTTGAGATATTTTGGCAATTTTTTAAAAAAGTCCCCGGCATTTTAATCCCCTTAACCGTTACAACTTTATTCTTCACAATTAAAACTACCTGTAGAATATTAACATGAGCCATGAACTATTCACAACACAATGTAAAGCCTTTTTTGTGTAGGACCAGCAGAAGAATAGAAACAGGATTGGAAGTTGATGAGTGTCCGAGCGTTCTGGAGTAATATTCTTTGTTTTCAGATTTATTAACTTACTAAGATAATCAAACAGCTCAATGAACAAAGATATTTTGAAACACTGAAGAGCTTGCTAGATGATTGGAAGTAGGGGATATGAGGCATGAACAAGAAATAAAAGAAAATCATCCGTACGAATGCAGTTTGTGAACACGAGTGGGCATGTAGTATTGACTTTTCTGGTCTACAATTCTGTTTGTCTTCTGATGTTAATGATACTAAAGAAATGAGGGAGCTAAGATGCTTTTTTTAAAAAATCAGCTCTTCACATAGATATATTTGACAATTGTTATAAAAGCCGAAGAAAATGGATTAAAGAATTTAAAGTTTTGGCAAAGATCTGTAGCTTGGCTTGTGGATGAGATTGTTGACTTGCTTGCCGAGCAGGATTAAAGAACTGTGGTTGCTTGCTTTTGCATAGCAACAAATTCTTTGAATGGTCATTTATATCAAAGCAAGAGACCATAATACATCATTGCCCTGTGTTATGCGATTTCCCAGAAACAAAATGATGGAAATATATATCTTCATCAAACATTTTGCTGTACAATTGAAAGGAATTATTGCATCTTTTTTTCAGTAATTTTTTTTCTCATACTTTCCATGCATTGTGCCTGTATTATAATTTAATAAACTGATACGATGATCTTACATTATGCAAAACGGTCAAAATTTCAATCATTGAAATAGCATCAGAGATCTTTTTTCTCAATCATATGATGATTTTTTGTTCCTTCTCAGTTTGTTTTCCTCCACTTCTTTGTTGATGGTGACCACTCTTGTTCATGAATTACACAGCAGAAATAGTGCTGAGTTAAGGAATCTTCCAGGGTGACAGTACTTCAGGCTTTATCTTCCTTAGGATGGAAGGGTTAACACTGATCAGTTTCTATCTGATTTCTGCCCAAATCCTGGATGTATGGCGGTATGTAGGTTTGGATGTTGTCTGTGTATAGAATTTGATTCTGCTTCCATGCTGTACACAGTTGTCACTTGGTTCCTGACCTTATTATAGCCTTGGTCCAATCACGGTCGAAAGAGTTGAACTCAACAGGGGAAGTAAGGTTGATTGCCCTTAACATCAAGGCAGCATTTGACCAAGTGCAGCCAATTAAAATTGGA